GTACTCATTAACAATTCTTTTTTACATTCCTTTACATTAACTCTAAAAGTTTAAAAAGACCGCTACTGGTGGTTTTCTAAATAAAGATTCAAATTTGGTTTCAATGGCAAATATATAATAGTTATTGTTCAGTTGAATACCAAACAAAAAAGTAGCGACATTAAAAAGATTCTGCTACGTCGCTGGGAATTTCTAAATTTTAGGGCAGTCAATGTCATTTTGTGTCTAAATTCGATTACTTGCTCTTTACCCAGAAAGTTTAATACATAAAAATCACCTCATCAATTAAGGATGTCATTTTTATAGATGGTTAAAAGCGCAGTATTAATCCTATATAGAAACTGTTCCTACATCAGCATCAGCAGGACTCGTTTATATAAATGAAAGTAGATGATAGATGCACAATAATGATCTGTCAAATTATCCCCAGAGACCCGGCAGTTTCTATGGAGAAATAGTGCTCCGTGGTACAGTCCTCCAATGGTTATCTGTCTTTTTTATTTTGCCACCTACTGTCACGCGGGAACTTGTGTAGACAGACCTGTAGGAAATTACATTATAAAACTGAAGTCCACACTTTTATTATGCTTCTTGTGTAGGAAGCCTACTTAAGGTAATTGCAGTGAGGAGGGGGAGAGTTATATTTTTGGAAGGCATTTTAGACTTAATTACAGTGCTGCTAATTCACTTACAAAGATATAGGGTCTACATAGGTCAATATCATATTTCGGGCAAAAAAATTGGAGCGAAAACTGATAATGAGGAGAAATATGCAAAAAAAGTTTCTATCTTGACAAGACAAAGTGATTCCTGTCCCATAAAGACAAAATAATTCCACTTTGCAATAAAGCACAATATCTTTCAAATCTGTTTTTAGATTCTATAAATCATCGTATTTACCAGAGCAGGTACTTGCCTGCGTCATGATAATCAACCCTGACTGTATCATGACCATCATGATTCTGCCTTGACTATGATTGCCAATTCTGACTGCGCCACAATTTTCAATCCTGACTGGCCCATGATATCAATTATGACTGTGTCATTGTTATCCACTTTGTCTTCGGCATCTTGAAACTACCATTGCAATCTAGTAATCAGTCCTGACTAGAATATGACTGAAAAATCCAAGCTGTCCCATGATTACCAATCTTGAATCATTATCCACACTAATAATTTAATAATGTGGCCATGACAGAGCCTAGATTTTTTTGTAAAAGTTCCAATGAAATAATATGAAGATAACGAAGAATATTCAAGCTCAAGAGTTCATTCAACGATACAAAATAGGAACAGAGCAAACGCGGACCTCCAAAACATCAGAGGTGGGATCAGGTGCCATGGAGGAGTGAGCATCTCTGCTGACCGGCCACACACGCCGTATATTTTTTGTCATAATCGGGAAAAATAGAAAGATCTGTAGACAATTAAGAGTGTATATAATCGCCTAACTATGGGTCTGAAAAAACATTTGTCAGCATTTGACTTAATGATAGGTTGTTATTGCTGACAGGATCATTGTATCGACCATAAAATTTGTAAAATGACTTCAGTTGAAATTGTTGATATCCGTGTATCATCAACTTTTTTTTAATAGCTTGTCTCGTTTAAGAAATTTTGCATGTGTTCTCGTGTATGAAATCGTCTGAGAGACTTAATTTCCACACTGGAAATTATAAGGGTATGTTTCTTTTAAGTAAAGGAAGTTAACGATTGAAAACTCATCATGTCATCATAAAGCTTTTTCTTAGATTACCATTAACGTATTTTCTATTAAAATATCCAAATATGTAACATACATGTCTGTTTCTGAGGTAAGTTTTATTTCAAGCTGACTTGGATATCGAGTCGCCTTATCAATGAAAGTAACTATTGTTGATATGTAATATGTCATCGATATATCGAAATGTTAAGTTGAGGACAACATCTATGGCACGCCAAATTCACAAAAATGAGATAAACCTAGTTTCACAATTGATAAACTAGGTTTATCGACTGTAAACTATAGTTTACAAACCGTAAACTATAGTTAACGATTCGTTAAGTATAGTTTTCATCTGTAAAACTATATTTAACGGTTGTTAACTATAGTTTACGAATGATAATCTAAGTTTTTCTGTCTGTAATAAGCGTTAACAATAGATTTTGTTGATAAACATAGATTCACGTTTGTAAACTATAGTTTACAATCGTAAACTATAGTTAAGAGTTGTTAATCATAGTTTCACAAATCGTGAAACTATATTTATCAGATCGTTAACTATAGTTAACGGTTTGTAAACTATAGTTTACAAATCGTGAAACTGTATTTATCAGATAATCTATGTTTTTCGCAATCGCAAATGATTGTTTTCAGTGTTAAGTATAGTTTACGGTTGTGAAACATAGATTATCGCGTTAACTATGGTTTACAGATGTGAAATATAGATTAACGTTGTTAACTATAGTTTACAGTCCGTAAACTATAGTTTACAACCGATAAACCTAGTTTATCGACTATGAAACTATGTTTATCTCATTTTTGTGAATTTGGCGTGCCATAAACATCAAGTGCTTTTCTCTTCTCGTGTATAAGTAAGGTTTTGTGTAATGTATGCAAATACATCAATAAGTTTGCTAATATGCAGGTGCAATTGGTACCCATGGGAATTCACGCGTCTTTCAATATCAACTTCAGAGTACTTTTATGAACGATCAATTAAAAAAAATAATTTTGGAAATGATCAATGACAAAGTAAGTAAATTCCGAGTTCCATTTTTATTGAAAAGGCAGCTGTTTATGATGTCAAAAAGCCTATACTTTGATTTATAGCGGGGAGTTGTTGTAAAGGGTGTTAAAAAGTAAGTTTTATAAAGTGTGTTTACATGTACATTTTGATGTTAATGAATTTGGTAAAATTATGTGATTTCATGTTTTCTTACAGTTCCTTGGATTTTTTAAAGTACATGTATCCACATCTGATTTACATCACTTCTCTAGATCTTATATGGTGTAGCTCATTACTACTAAAATCTTTCCTTCAGTGCTGTACATATTTTAATTAGGAGTAAAGAAAGGGGCTTTGTAGAAAGGGACCCGCTGTGTATCGATTTTTATGGAGTTTTGGAATCCAGTAAGGTTATGGTAATTCAGATTTGACGGAATGCATAAATATTTTAACTAACATGTGGTCTTGAAGACTTAACTTCTTGGAAATAAAATTATGGCTATAAGTTGGATTACCACTTGCAAAATTAATTTTTAAATTCTCAAAAATACAATTCAAATAATGAGGATTACAAAGACAAGGTTGTCCCTTGCTTTGTAAGCAGGATCAGTTCACACTGATCAAGTACCCATCTAATTATTATTTTCTTTTATGTATTGTCAGCGAATGAAGGATAGATAGTTTCAAATTCCCCCTCATTGTCTTACGTGAGGTTTCAACATCCATGACATATTTATTTCATTATGACAAAGTGTCAAGGTCTTCTTTTATATATTCGGTTCGTCCCTTGGCGTAATCTTCTACAGAATTCATAATATATTACGCAAGTTGAAAGATTGGGGTTCCCAAACTTTTCCATCTAACATTAAGTGATTAATGGTCCTTATTTTACCTATATTTACGTTACCAGTAATGACGTGTCCAGCAGGACTACAATTGTAAGGTGAAAACGTTGGAGAATTATGTTTAGATGCTCGATATCTAGATTCTGATCAGTTTTTTATGACTAAAAATTTGAAATTTCCGAAATATATTAGCAAGAAATACATGGCGTGGACATCAACTTGGAATAAGGTGGAATACAATACTAGCCTTTTTGTAATTTAGCCTACTGGGTCATGATTATCAATCCTGAAGGTCATAATTGTCAATCTTGACTGGATCATAATTTTGTAACTTGAAAAGGCCATGATTACCCTGACATGAAAGAGATGGCATCAAAGGGTGGTCATGATTAAGAAAGAAATTAAACATATACAGAACATGAAGGGGTCTTTCTTAATCGCTCTCCAAATTAGAAAGTTGGGCCTACGTGAGAGGATGCAGATTTTAATAACCCCTGCTTGAAAAGTGGGAGGGTATACCGGTATAGTGATTGGGATGTCCGTCCGTCTGTCTGTATGTTCGTCTATTTAGCTATGGGGTACACATCTCTTATCCCTAACTCCTATTATACCACCAACTGAAATTTAATGAAACTTTCACAGTATCCTTGTTATGTATTGCCATTGTGCACCTCCTTCTCTACTTTTTTGATTGGACTCATATTTTGGGTTTCCCATAATAATATTGAAGGGTGCCCATCTCTTTTCCGAAAATCCTCCACTGAATAAAATTTAATGATACTTTTACAGATTGTCATTGTGCATCTCCTACTTTTCTCTTTGATCTGACACTTTTTCAGGTCTCCCAGAGAAAAACATTGACTTTGCCATTATAATCATATGGGAAGAGAGGGCACATGCACCTGACGTGACTTATTTTTCTTTGAAGATAAAAATTTACCCCCTTCCTAATTGTTAGGTAGGGGGTATATTTTTTTATTAAAAGAAAAATAAGTCACGTCAGGTGCCTGAGTCCTATAAAATGGAATAAAATTTAATGATACTTTCACAGATTCTTTATTACATTGTGCCATTGTGCACCTCCTATTTTACTTTTTGATCTGTCACTTACTTTAGGTGTCCCAGAGCAGATAAGTAATATATGTAAGTAAAACTGATTATGAATATTTACAATTTTAAAAAATTGTCAAGAACTTTGTATTACAAGTATTGACTTGGATGTAAGCAGGATCTACAGGAATGAGAACTATGGATAGAAAATGCTTTAAGATTAGTGCATTTGCTTTGTGTCGTTGATGATAACCTTAATACTAGTATCCTTGAGGGCACTTTATACATATATCTTGTGATGACCCTGCGTTTTCCTTTAAAATCATGTCTTTGCATAAAACCACAAAATGTTGAACTTAAAAAGTTTGTTTTATGTTTAAAATCAAAGTATGAATGAATTTACCTTCCACGTGACTTGCATAACAGTTTAAGACATAATTAGAATATACATAACTGAAATATATCTAAAATGAAAACACTTTTGTTAAAAATATAATGTAATAGTGTATCAAATGTAACAAAATCAAAGAACATGTCTTTAAAAAGACCCATAATAATGTTCAGGTTTACATACACACAAGCCATGAGTGTCAGTATGATAATTAAACTAATGATATTTAACATGTATAATAGACACATCATAGCAATTTGTGATTCAGAATAGAACATAATTTAAAGTGAGGACATTAAACTGTAAAACATCATATAAGATGTGAAAAAATGCAAATGTAATGCTAATTTTTAATTTTAAGATCCATATCTACATGTATTTCTTTTTTGGCTTAAATACAAATCACTTTGTACATTTGGTCTTGTTTCCTTTACTTCCAAGTTTCAGCATGTAAAGCGAATTTTATCCAGCAGGGCATTACTTCTACAAAACTGGCTGATCATGAGTTGAGAAAATCAAGCTGAACATTCAGATAGAAAAAGATTCCTGATTTTATCACATATAGGCTTCAAATCACCATAAAATAAGGCACAAGTGAGATTGTTAAACCCACTGTTAAGGTTCAAAGTTCACTTGTATGTCCTTAGGGTCGTTGACCTTTGACAGAGCTGTTGTCAGGACTCCCACTGTGGCCTTCTTGCCATTCTGTTGTTTCCATTTTGTAAACATGTGATGTGCCACGCCCCTTATCCCCTCCTCCCGGAAATACTGGATATAGATCTGTTCTAGGTCAGTGTCACTCACATTCAGGGTTCGACCTGCGAATAACAATACAGACTTAATCAACAAGCTTTAATACAGACTCAAATTTCTTATGTTGATATAAACTTCATTTACTCTTCATTTTACAGGTCTATGTATTAATGAGACAAACAAAGTGCCATTTACATTATATGAGTAACATCTCACTAGATTTCTGCAGACAACTTATTTATCTTACCTACTCTGCGCCATGATTTACCAATCATTGTGGTAGCTCTTCTAATGTCCAAGTCATTGGCGAGTCTTGTGGAACCTAGGAATATACATCAAAGATCATACAGGTCATTTCAAATCGTCAAAAATATGGCATCTGGAGAAAAAAAATCCCTGTTTTGATATAACCAAATAACAGCTGTAATTGGGTGGGCACATATGACCTCTCTCCATTTTCAAATCTTGTGAAAACAATGAAAATGTATTTAACCTGCCTTAATCACTTTATTTGTCTGTGATATATAATGAAATAATTACTGAGTATCTGCTGACAGATGTCAGTGATTGGTTTAGCTGCCTCTCGCGGTGGATCCTCCTCCTCCGAGTCTGACGAATCAGAACTCGAGTCATTCCTTCGTCTCCCTCGAGAACGTCCCGATGTCTGGTTTACCACCATCACATTGTTGCTTCCAACTTGGACATTTTTAGAATTGTGTATATGTATGGAAGTCTTTTTTCCAATATAACCTTTTTCAATTTTGATTGAGCCATCTTTGTTTATCTTTGTCCTTGCACCTAATCAAAAGAATTCAATGTTACATGAAATATAAAGTAAAATACAACCCCCCTTTTTGGTGGGGGAGGGGGGAATACAAAAAATAAAGACATCGTATTTGTTATAAACGGTGATTCAGGTATTCAATATAGATACAACTGTTCATTATGGAAATATGGAAAATTTCACCATCACTGTAAAATCTTTTATCACTTGAATTTAGAGGAGCATGTCTACATACTGTGAACATCAAAAGAAAAAAACAGACATTTTACCTTCATTATGTTAACATATTATGATGAACAATATGTAGGACTCCAAAGTGCGATGGGACTCCAAAGTCCGATGGTCACGCCAAAGTCCGATGGTCTGTGCCAAACCCCGATGGTTTGACACGCCTAAGTCTGACGGCGCAGAAAACAATTAACGTCTATGACGTCATAGTACTACTGCATAAGAATTCGATGCCACGCCATGCCAATAAATAAATACAAAATATCATAAATACAAAGACTAACCCTCGTCTTTTGGATGTAGGTGCGAAACTAAGACTTACCAGTCGAACAATGAGTATCAACTCTAACCTAACTATCATAGGTGGGTGCAGGACTAATCTAAATCAGCCCAATAGTGTGCGAGGACTAACCCTAAAATCTCTCGGGTGGGCTCGAAGAACCTCACTGTTCAAGGACTAACCCTTATCACTCCAATGGTGTATGAGGGCTAACCCTAATACCTCTGGTGGGTGAAAACAAAAAGCATCTGGTGGGTGAAAACAAAAAGCAATATCTCAAATATGTGAGACAAATACTGAATCAATGGATTTTGAATGCAGAATAACGTCATGACGTTGAACTATTGTGACGTCATAACATTAATTGTTCCTCTGCACCATCGGACTTTGGCGTGTCAGACCATCGCACTTTAGCGTTGCGCGTCTCACAGGAAATGAGCCATCGGACTTTGGTGTGACCATCGAACTTTGGCGTCCGTAAAGACAACGAGCCATCGGGGTTTGGAGCAGACCATCGGACTTTGGCGAGACCATCGGACTTTGGTGTCACCATCAGACTTTGGAGTCTTACATAGACAGGCATATAGCTATGTACACATAAGATTCCATATTATGAATATGGAGGGGTATTTACTAGTAAGATTTTTCATTGTGTACTTTATACTTATGCAAACATATATTAAACGTTTCCACATTAACAATTAACTTTATCATGTTGATAACTTGTGAGAAATGTTTTCAATCTTTGTTATGACTGTCCTTTGTCACTGAACTCAATGAGATGTATTTATATCACTGTAACATTATACAGTTGTTGACAGGAGTCTCGGGAAACAGTCGATCTGTTGGACCAGAGTGCAAACTGTTGCCCAAGGCCTACAGTGGAGTGTAATAATTGTAACTACGGTGGAATGTAATAATTGTAACTACAGTGGAGTGTAATAATTGTAACTATACATACCCTCTGCCTCCTCGGCCTCTGAAGTAAACTCCATGCCAGGACTGGCCCCGAATCCCCTGTCATTCATTCCCCCCGTCACCACCTTTACATGTTTCATAGCCTTCTCCACCTGGTACAAAAGGAAGGGAAACTGTTATTTACATACAGGTATCCAACCACAAAATAACGTTCTTTAAACACATTATGATTACAAAATAAAAGTACATATACCTGTCTTTATACACATATATAAACACATGATGAATACATTAAATAGTAAATACTGTAAAACGAGAATATTTGGCGCACTACTAATTTTAACGCCTTTGGCGCAAGAGCCCTTGAGCGCTAAAATTTCTTGTGCGCTAAAGGATTTCTAAATATTATTTTTTGTGTGTGTTCGACATTTTTTTAACATAAGTACATGTAAACCGGAACGCGCGATTACGTAATGTCGAAGGGTCATTGGATTTTATACACACACTAGCACTGTACATGTTCGGAAGACAGAGAGATCTGCCAAATTATAATTCAATCAAACTATTGTTACCCAGGTAGTTGTTACCCGATTATTATCATTAGCACCTTCAAAGTTTGGCTTCTCGGAGTGTCAATCATTTATCGCCTCCAGGTAAACAATGCAATCAAGCATGCCGATTGAGCTTACTGACAATACCTGATAAGGATTACCGTTTTATCTATAAGTAATTTTCTGTTGATGCATGCATTGTTTTAATATGATTTAAACAAGTAAATACTTTATTTCTTTTAATTGAAAATAGAAATAAAATGAATTTTAACATTGTACATGCAATTCCATGTGATGGCAACACGTACCGCGGTGAAGTTAACGAATGTTTACTGATATACGGGAGTACTAATATGTTTCCGTCCTTGACTTACCAAAAAGTCAAATACGGGTGTGGATAAAAAAATATCACATCTATATATTTTACTGACAAGTGCAAGCGCTAAAATTTATTTGCACCAATGCATTCCCACTTGCGTTTGCGCTAAAATACGTATGCGCCAAATTTACTCGTTTTACAGTATATACCTGTATACAATAAAACCTGTTTTAAGCAATTCAATGGGACCTATGAAAATTACTTTGCTATATTCACAATTTGTTATATCCGTATAAGGAACTGGTTAAATTTATATAGCTGGAGATTCAAGATATTTAAGGAAATCAATGACTCTAATTCTTGGCCAAATTATTTGACAAAACCTGCTTCGCGGATTATTAAGCGTAAACTGACCCAAACTAAGTTATACTCGAATAATTTAGCAAGAATTAGAGTCATTCCTTATAATTTGATTATAAAATAATTAAACAACTGTGGGTGTAAAATTGCGTTGCTTCTTATGAATTCAAATTTGCCGCTCAATAATACATCCCTAGTAACGAAAGTGATATGAAACAAGGGGAGGTAATAACTGATACACAGATCTAGCAGCCATGGTGTTTGTTTACACGAGGTAAGATCGAGCTACTGTTTTAAGTTAAGGGTACATGTAATAAATCTGGAATTTCCCATGAATCCCAAGGACTGGAAATGAGGGGATTGCATGGATACAGATGATTCAGCTGGTTGTCAAGGGGGTGTGTCCCCATACCAAACCAGGTTATTAAGAAATAATTTGCGTTCCTTTTTGGAAATCAACCAATAAGAGACTAGAATACAAACAAAATTGAATTATTTCGCTATATCCATGAATTCGCAATATCCCTGTTCGTACAAAATGAGTTTTACTGTATGTCTTTACACGTATATAAACACATGATGAATACATTCTCAATACATTAAATACATGTAGTACACTAACCTGTCTCATGGCTTCCGCCACAGTTCTCTCAGCATCTACTGGCCTGTGCTTGTTTCTTTTGGACATACTCCAATATATTTCTCAGTATAACATTTCCATCCACTATATGCCTTACAAGACAAAGCCAATCACAGTTATTTAACAGCTTCCTGTTTTAAAAAAGAGTTATCACACTGAGAATAGAAATATGTATTTCCTTACAACAATATTCAGATATCATCTCATTCTCTTCAAAGCATAGATAAATATAAAATTTTAAGAGTAAATAAAATTTTTTTTTAAAAATTAAAAATATAGTGAATTTAACCATTTCATTTAATTATTAAACAAGTATTCATCATGTCTAAAAGAGGGTGGAAAATTCAAATGATATTTAATGGTCCCAGCTTTTCATTTGAATAAATTAATGAGTATATCATTTACTTGGAATGTGCCCAACTTTGGTGTCAGGCACATTACTGGAAGAAGAAGAATGTTTCATGACAAGTTTAGTTAAATTTGGTCCGAAGTAGTTAAAACTTAAAAATATGTGCAGTTAACTTACAAAACATAACGTGACAGACAGCTAGACAGACAGATGGATGATGGACACGTTTTGATCAATAAAGCTCACCTGAACTTCTTGGTGTATGTGCTCTTAAAAGTAACAAGAATGGATATGGGTTACCCCATATCCAAAGATATTCGACTTTTAGATTTAATATGTTTAACAGTGTTTAATGACGTTTATAAAAATAAAACTGCACTGTCTAGTTATAGAACTTGTGTAAATTTCGTGAGTCAGTAGCATTACGGTCACTCAGTCTCCTAACCGTGCTAACAAACAGTACACATACCTATGTCCGCAAGACCAGTTAGCCTTGGTCTATACACACGTGCGATGGAGTTGTCAAACGGACTCCCGCTCACAGAGAAGTTACGATGGCAGACAGAACTTTTTTTCATAATTAGATCACATGAATACAAATTCTGATTCATAAAAATTAAACGATTGTCAGTTTAGAAATCCCCCGGCCAGTTCGGGTTTTGTTACACATTTCATACGTACTCTCCCTATGTGTAGTTTGTCTACACACGTGCAGGAATCAGCTCAGGGATTGAAAATTTCGTCATTTAACATTCTACACACAGAATGATTTTTTTTTTTCTTAAAGGAAACTTTATGATAATTAACGAACAATTAACATGATTTTACTACAGTTGTTGATATAGTATAATCAATTCATCAGTGAAAAATATCAACCGAAGAATGACCTAGATATTCTCTGTTATCAAACATGTTAGAAAAAAAAGCTGAGGAGGGAGCGAGCGTAGGAATATCAACATTTTTTATTTGCATTTAGGGGGGAAAGTTATCTTTGGAGGAAAAATTAACATTAATTTTGGTTTCTTTTACGTATGACATACACAACATTATTTTTATCATGAACAATTATATTGTATCTACTTATTAATGATGGAACTATTTTCGTCGGAACGATTTGTGTGAGTCGCCGCTGAATACAGTAATATATCTTGCATTAATAGTATGCACTGATCGAATATATTAAAAATAACACAAGAGTAAAACTGAAACCAGACACTCTGTTCATAAAAAATGATAGTGGGATTCATTACGGTGAACTACGGTTAATTTTTCAATGCAGCCATAGTATGGAAGAAGTTCAGGCTTAATTCTTATCATACTTTCACTTCTCAAGGTTCAGGAGAACGTCTCTGAACATGGTATTTTTATTAACACCCCCCCCCCCCCCCAAACCACACACAGGTTAACGACAGCTTACCAAACAATCTTTCTGAAGTTAATTTCTTGGGTAACCGCGTTAGAAACTTTCTGTTCCCGATATTCACATTATATATTTTCTCGATGTCTGGATACAGTGATGTTTCTACAGGAATTTCCAACTTCCAGTTCTTCTTTTTGATGTTAGGAAGAGCCTACCAATAAAATCCAAACGCGCAGACTTCTTAATTCCGGATATATATATGAATTATGGTTAGAACGGTACCTAGTGAAAATGGCACCTGGTGAAAACGGCACCTGGAATATGCAAAACGGCACTTGGTTAAAACGGCACTTAGTGAAAACGGCACTTGGTTAAAACGGCACTTAGAGAAAAAAGTATATAATAGTGTTATGATATATATTTCACATAAGTTCTTTTTAAGTCAAAATTTAATTTATTGACTTTAGAATATTTTGTGGCTTCAATTTTGCTTTATTTTCAATCTATTTTTAAAGGTAGTATTTTTAAGCTATAACACAACAATATGTGGGATTTAGAATAATTATATTTGTAGTGTAGTGTTGATAATATGAAAAAAGAAATGGTGTAAATGATTTAAAAAAAGAATATTTACAGTAAGAGTCACTTTATCTCACATTTCTATCTAATTCTGTAGAAATTATTTTAACAATATCAACATTGTATATCTTCATTATAAAAAAACAAATGTTTTGTTCTTGTATGTACATGTTTATTATATTATTAAATGTTGTATGGCTACTCATATTTTATGTACAGTTGCGAGAGGATTATCTTAGTTTTTCTAACTTGTGTACAATCCATTTGACATTTTGTCGACAAATACACAATAGTAGCTGTATATGATTGCAAATTGACGATCAACAGATTATTGAAGGGGAGGTGTGAAATGGTCTTTTGTTTCCTAAACCTACTAGTGTATTCTTAGTAAACATACTCTAACTGGCTTCTAATTAGTCAACTGTGACTGGCAACCCCCAAAACAGAGTAGTATACATATTTGCAACACTATAAATTTTTTAATTTCAAAGGATCATAATAATATAATTGGGATTTGATCTCTTTTGTAGTAAATAAATATATATGATTTAAAATATAAATACATTTTAAAAATCTAACCCCTGTACAAAATTATAATAATTTCAAATGAATCAGTTTACTTTTTTTCCTAAAATATTTTAAAAACATTTTCATCAATAATAATATACACATTTATTACTATAAATGTAACATAAAGATCCATTTTCTGTATAAACAATATCAAATTCTCAAAATAAAAAAAGTGCCGTTCTGACTTTTCTAAAGTGCCGTTTTGACTACTCTCAAGTGCCGTTTTGCATATTTCCTAAGTGCCGTTTTCACCAGGTGCCGTTTTGACTTGTACCCATATATATATATTCAAAAAAATAAAAGAAAAAAACTTTGCAAGTATATTATTTTGAGTACAGAGTAATTTGAAAATAAATATTGTTTCGTCTACTGAAAAGTACAGAGATGATTTTCTCTATAAATGAATCAAAAAGTTGTCTTTTATTAAAAAAAAAAAGTTAGTGTTTGGTTTTGTGTGCTATGTTGATAATGTAAACAAAAATGGCCGACAGGTATGTCAGCAACGAGATGATGTTTTTATTTTAATTTTACCTATTTGTATCGAGTTGTTTAGTTCGAAGCGTAATGAGAAATCTTTTTTGTTAATTTAGGGGTGGGGTATCCTTGATTTTCGTCAAAATCCCACTTATGGTCAAGTTTTATTCTCTAAAGAGAATAGGTCAAGTTTATGTCCTTTGGATAAAAGGTTCTATCGATCTCTTGTTTTTGTTTATCAGCTGCAGAAATAGTTGAAAACCATGAGAGGGTCGTATATGGTTTTAACAATATGGTTGAAATTTAACTACATAATGATATAAAATATTCTACAATATCATAATGATCTGAAATTGAACTTACTAGAGGTACTGTTAGCAATGAGCTCACTAAATGATACCCCCGCCTCCCATATTAATATAATGGCGTCCATGTTTTGCTGTGGGAAACCCAAAATATGTGTCGGATCAAAATGTAAAATAGGAGGTGCACAATGGCAATATGTATTATGTAATAAAGATTCTGTGAAAGTTTCATCAAATTTCATTCAGTGGTATGAGAGGAGTTGCGGATAAGAGATGAGTATCCCAAAGCGTAACAGACAGACGGATGGACGGACATACAGATGGACATACCGATTACTATATACCCTCCCGCTTTTGAAGCGGGGGGTATAATAAAAGAGAAAGATCTGTACAGAGTCAGTACTATATATTTGAGTGCGATATGGTAATTAAGAGATAAAAAAATATAAAAAATTAGGTCAAATATTGTCAAAAACATTCCTTCTCTAATTTGTTTATAAACAGTTTATATCTAGAAGTGAGATATGAATGAGAGCATATGATCAATTAATGTATGAGGTAATTGAGGATCTGTTTAATCTCCGTGAAATTCGTTGACTTAATATTTTGGACTGATATCTCTTCGAACATGTCGAAGAGACATCAGTCTAAAATTACTCTCAACAAATCTGACTGAGATTAGGATCTGTTCAATCTCTTCAGTATAAATGTGTCAAGGTCATTCATTATAAAAGTTGAATATCTCTTATTCTAGGGAATCCTTGCAAACGGAGAGTACACAGAGTCAGGACACTGAGCAAACAGGGGACACTAACCAATCCCATGGGGTCTCCGCGGTGCCGCTCACGGCGGTGTCTGCCTACAAACATTTACGGGAGTCAGGGGAAGGCCCACACAATGTTCCACAGGTTTTATCAAACAACAACATTATTTAAAAAAAATTACATTAATAATTCTTTAGTTATAATTTATACTGGTAGGCAAGGCCACACTAAATGTGCATAATTGTTGTCACATTGATAACTTGTATGCAGAATCAGCCTTTCATTGACTACGAATACCAATAAATAAAATATCATATAAATGAATCATTATTTAAGCAATGAATCATTATTTTTGGAAAGATATACATGTGTGGTTTCATAACTGCAACGGTTTGTGCAAAGGAATAACACGCGTTGGTGTTTTGAATGCCATAAATTTCCAAAAACTTTATATGCAAAATACATGCGTAATGTAAATGTTATTTGTTTTCTTTAGCTTCCTTCCCACAGATTCCAGTACTCTGTATGGCATGACCTGAGGGAGGCTGTTCTCACTGGGACAATGCTGAAAGCCCCCAGGGTCAGAGAAGGTAATCAACTCCAACATACCAACACTTGATTTTTAAGGCCAAATTTTGTCAACCATTTTATAGGTTTTTCAGACTTGGGAACAGATTTTGCATCAATCCTGAAAATGACAGGGATTCTGGGTCCAAAAAAGCTGGGTGATTCAGACAAAAGTGAGACAGAGAGGCTGTTTCTTACAAATTTTCTTTTAACAATTGTCTTTATGCAAGTTTCAAGATTTATTTATTTCCTTGAATCAAAGTAAGAGTTTTTTATTGATGCAATAACTTTCTAATAATAATTTTTAGCATTCTGATTTATAAAAGTTTTATTTTTCACACTAGGTCCCCCAGAGAAAGAAAAAGCATTCTATAAAATGAAAGATGAGGAAGACAAAGTAATTCACCATTCTCACACAGGATCAACTAGGGATGCTTACAGATATACAATGGAAAGCTGGGAGAATGCTACGGTACATTTCCACTGTTACAGAGAAAAAGTATTCTTCATTGTATTAATTAAGGGGGGGGGTGTAAAAAAATTTACAATCTGTTGACACTGATTAAGAGTGGCAGATTAGTTTTTAATGTATTTTTATAAAAAAATCTAATATTCAGTTTCTCCCCCCTCTTCTTTTTAAATTTAGTGTGCTTATATAAGAACAACTGCAAAATATGAATTCATATATTTTTGATGAAAATATCAAGGATTCATGTTTTAATTGTTCTTATCTTGCATTGAATTTTATTAATCTGACATAGTTACACTTATATTGTGCATGTGATAAAATGTTTTTATTTCTCCTCAGACTGTCAGCCTATGTTAAATGTTTTTTTTTTCTTCTCAGACTGTCAGCCTATGTTAAATGTTTTTTATTTTTCCTCAGACTGTCAGCCTATGTTTAAAGGATTTTTTATTTTTCCTTAGACTGTCAGCCTATATTAAATGTTTTTTTTTCTCCTTAGACTGTCAGCCTATGTTAAATGTTTTTTATTTCTCCTCAGACTGTCAGCCTGTGTTACCAGGAGTTACACGACTCGTACCAGAGATCCACGTTTTATGCCGTCCTTGGGAGACTACAGAACGTGGAACGTCTGTATCTGACTGACAACACCATACAGAGTCTGAAGGGGAAGTCCTTCCCAAAGTTAGTTCTCTCTTCATGAAGAACTCAGTTCTAATACATTTTTCATTATTTTCATTGACAGGATGTGTATTGGCAATCAAAATTTTCACTGTTCTTCAGATCTAGAAAAATACACGTAATATATTAAGTTGTGCAAAAATTTATACTGCTCAATTCTTTTTACATTTCAGATGTGAAGTGTTGAACCTGAATCATAATTTCATATACTCCTTTTCGGTAATTGATTTTCTTATTCCCACTTGAGTCTCCCCACTAATTTTATATAATTTTTTTTAATGCATAATTATCAAATGTTTTAGACTTCCAAATTACCAAATAGATTTATTCATTAAATTTTTTTTTGTTAAATTATTAAATTCAAGTACATTAAAGAAATAAACATTTAAGTGTCATTGTCACCTGAAGTGATCATTATGTAAAACCAATACACCCCAGTACAATATAATTACTGTATATACTCGCCTATACGTCGGTCTGCCTGTAAGTTGGTTGTATTTTTATAAGCTTAGATTGGAAGGATTGACCCTTTACTATACCAACCTTTTTATGACTTGCCTATAAGTTGAATAAAGAGTTTTGGACCAAAGATTAACTCCCAAAATACTGACTTAAAGGCGAGTATATATTGTAAAGTTTTGGGGTCCTTAATTATAGGAGCTGCCCTCTATCCCACGGATTCGCTGCCTGATGTTGGAGAACAATGATATCAGCTCTTTTTCTGGCCTGTCTAAGCTTTGGTCCTCTCCCATTGAGGAACTGTATCTGAACGGAAACCCTGTGAGCTTCACCATCAACTACCGACCAAAGTAGGTGACTGACCTGGAAATCTGTGTTCCTTCATTATTGCTTAGATTCTATAAGGGATCTTTATCATTACTTTAACATTCAACTGATGAGCATCATCAACATTTTCAGACTTGCACAATACTGTACAAGTGAAATAGATCAACAATTACATTTCATTAATTATATGTTACATGTACTATAAATTTACACTGGTTTACTAACAGGATTTGGAATCCTTTCGAGTCAAATCAATGAGTTTGAACTATTCAAGCATATTTTACTTAACTGTCATCATCTTTTTATTTTAGGGTTTTCCAGATTTTGACCCAGTTAAAGGTGTTGGATGGAATTCCCAAACTCCAGTCTGACCTTGAGTTTATTCCTGTGGTGGAGCTTCCCACGCAGTCTTCCCAGTGTACCATTCTGTGAAGGTCTCTCAAGGTCATTTAATGAGGCATCTAGCAAGTAACTTAGTCCAGTGATTAATACAAAATACACATGTACTTCATCCATGGAAAATTTCATAGCCTTCCAGTATTGATGGTGTCTTGTATTGTATATAATGCATGTTCATATACATTAAAACATGGTTTCAGAGAAATGCTGATAACGAAATCACACTTACAGCAAAGTGATTTTTAGCCGGGCTTATTGCTCCAAGAGCAATTGCCGGCTTATGTCATCCTGTATATAGGCAGGATGTCAAAGATATAGTCGCCATTTTAAAGTTACGTGTAAAAATATAGTTCTTACTCTCAACCGCTTCCGAGATGATACAAACGCTAAATAAAGCAACATAAATAAAACGGTTTTATCTAAATAAATGAACATTAACTGTAATGACTTTGAAAACTTCAGTCTTAAGTCAAAGAACATAGTTTATTAGCGTAAGGATTTCTGATAATCAGTGTTATCGTAGTTCTCTACACTAACGAGGAAAAACAGGAGAGGGAACCAGATTGGCCTGTTTGTTTACATTCAGCCGTAGTACCAGATTAATTTCGATTCCGACAAAATCGGACCGTGGTATTTGGATCGAAAACTCACTGTCAGTGTCTTATAATTTATATTGCTAGTTTTAAAATAATTTTTTCATCAGAATTTTTAATCTGATATTCTTGTTATTTATCTGTTTCATACAATATAAACGTATGATTCATGTAATAAATTCATTTTACTCTGTAAATGAGCCCGGCTCTCTGTACTTCTGAGCTTTGATTATTCCATGTAAAACAAACTAAAATTGGTCGTCAGTAGCACTTTGCTGTAATAATGATTTACTGTATATATATATGTACCAGTACCAGTAAAAAGATATATTTTTGTCTGTGATAAACTGCAGATTGACTTATTTTCAAGAGATTTATATTTTTGAGGGTTGAGAAAGAAATATTGAATTCTTGGGGATTTATTTTTATGGTTGAAGACATATAACCATGATGGACTAGTTTTGAGTCTTAACATTTTCATAGGGACACAATTTTGTGGGTCTCTTTATACATTCAAATACAACCCTATGAAAATAAGGGATTTCATAACATCAGATTTGCTGAGATAATTGATATCCTTGAACAATAATTTTACATAATTTAAGGTATTCAGGTAGGACTCAGCCCCCCTTCCTTTTTTAAGTTTATTTACAAGTACATGTGTACCTTCTTTATATTTTGTGTAAATCTTTATAAATAGTTGTACATATACCTGATCATCCGTCCTCTTCCTCTATTTAGAACATTTGAATTACTTGCTGTGCAATACATTTTTAATCCTTCTCATATGAACCATATAGATGTGTACGCATTTAGAAGAAACCCATATTAAACATTCTATATTTATATGAAAAAGTTACATATTAATATACATGTACTGTTAATTATTTTCCTTGTTATATACATATTGCTGAAAAAAATGTTAACATCTTTTCCATTTTGACATGCTGGTTTTGTCAAAACTTTTCTTTTATAAATAAACTTTTAATGCACAATTTCCTTCACTCTTGTTTCTTCAGTCACTCAACAGAGCAGCTTGTCAAGACTGCTAAAATTTGGGTTATAGATTTGGAGCATATTTTATATTTTGAATTGTTTAGAGTTGCATTTAAAAACATTTCAAAAAGAAAACCACACAAGAGTCTCTCCGTGTTCTTTTATTATGCGTATTTACAGGTAAAAATGATAAAGTTCTATTTGACCACCTCAAATCTGTGCTGAATGTTAAACACCCCCACGGACTGGTTAGCTTGTGCATCATACTCTGACCAATCAGGATCCTGTAAACAGATATCAACATTATAACACTGTAAGAAATAACCAATCAGGATCCTGTAAACAGATATCAACATTATTACACTGTAAGAAATAACCAATCAGTATTGACAGATCGAGGCTGAAAGCCAAGGTTAACCAACACCTTACAAGGTTCATATAGTCAAGATGGATATATATGGATCAGTGAACAATACGTTACACTGTATTTATAGAGATGTAAATAAGCATATAATTTCTAAAATATTGTTTCATGAGCACTAGGAAAATTTGTATGCACTTTGGACAACGTATTGAAGAAGTAAGTCATACATATGTAAGCAAAAATATTCTGAGGTACTTGTACTGTTTTCACTTTTTAATAAAACATCTTTATAATTTTCATCATAAAATGCTTTGAGATTGTCTGTGAAAATTGCCATCACAATTCTGTTTTCAAATATCAACATAGGATATAGACAGAGAAAGCTTGCCTTAACTTAGGGAAATAAGGTGTCATAAAAATATGATGATCTACTGTACTAGTGTATATATACATATATGTAATAATTGATGTGGTCACACATGCCTACTAATAGCCCTTACCCCTTCATTGAAGGCTATTTCTGTAAATGGTGTCCCAGATTCTGCTCCCTCTGCTACAAATCCTGCCTGGAGAGAAAAAAAATCATAATTTAATATCTTTCCTACAAATACAGCATATCAGTAAAAGAATCCTCAGACTACCTAATAAAGCTAATTAAACTACAAATCCTGAAGAAAAGAGATCTAAGGGCAACAATGCTCACCTGAGTAACTTACTCAAGGAGAAAAGTTTATTGAGTGTGTTGAACTTAGTGTGGGTGAGAAGTTTACTGAGTCTGTAGAAATTATTCTTGGTGACAAGTCTATTTGAATTTCCTCTTCGTGAGAGATCTATTGAGTCTGTTGTACTTACTCTGAGTGAACAGTCTATTGAGTTTGTAGTACTTGCTCTACATGAGAAGTCTACTGAGTTTGTGGTACATGTACTTACTCTGGGTGAGAAGTCTATTGGTTCTAATCCCCTGCAATCAAACACAACCACCGTCACAAACTTTCCACTGTCCCCCTCACAGTATGGCTTTAGGGAATCTCTCATTATGTCTGTAAATTTATAAACTATGTGTCAACAAGGTTATATAAATCAATTAAAAAATTACCTTTAAGACAATGCCTGGCAAATAAGAGAAAATCTAGATTTTAATTAACCATTTAATACAAATTAATACAATGAAGCATGAAAACAAAAATAAAAGGTAACTGGTAGTTACTTAGTGTTCATTCCTATAATTAGGAACAAAGCAAGGTCTGAATCATCAGGTTCTACATGTAGATAGAATTGGACTTTAACCTGATGATATGCTAGGAATGTAGCACAGACTCTCTGTTATTTCGTCAACATAGAGCTAGAATCTGATAACTGACTGATTTAATATCAAGATACCTGAATCTCTGTGGAGTGGTTTCTAGTCCAAAAAGACATTAATCAGGTCCAGCACAATGTCTTGATTAAGCTATATAGCTTTAAAAAGCTATTTAGCTTTATTAAGCTATTTAAAATAGCTTAATAAAGCTATTTATCTGCAGTTTTTTATCTGCAGTTTTTAACAAAAACGTTTTTAGTAAGAAATAAACAAAAAGTCGCAAGTATTTGACTATTCATATATGTACTTTGGGCTATAAAAAATACAACCTAAATCATAGAAAGTTCTGACATTGCTGTTGTTGAATACTTTTAAGCAAAAGATGAATTTCCATTGTTTGGGTAACAGCACTATCATAATGAGTGCGGTGAGGCGTGGATAAGTATGATTGCTTCTCATTGTGTTGAACTGTTACTAATCAATTATCCTGTTGGCCATAACTGACCTCCTTTATAATTTCATTCAAGAAATAACTGTGTGGTCACTCATCAATAGCCCCCAAACTTTTAAAAATTAGAGTACAAAGTCTAGTCTCAAGGAGACAAAATTTGGTGAGTGATTTTTACATGCATTGTATTCAGAAGAGATCAAAGTTTAATATTCCCACTGCACCAAGGTGCGACTTTTTGCACATGCTGAAAAAATAAAACATTTGAGAAAAAAGTGTGATAAAATAGCTTAATCAAGCTATTCCGAATAGCTTAATCAAGCTATTCCGAATAGCTTAATCAAGCTATTCCGAATACCTTAATAAAGCTATATAGCTAAATCAAGCTATATAGCTTAATCAAGACATTGTGCTCGACCTGTTAATAAACATGTAAACTATGTAGTAAAGATGTAAATCAAAAACTTCTAATCACTAATTTTTTGTGAAAAGATCCAAACTTCATGTCCATAAATGTAAATTGCAATCTATAGTATTTAACTACTTAAGAATTCATCATCCAACATTAACAAAATAAAACCCCAATAGACCTTTCCACCTAAAAATACAATTATTTAATCCACAAAAATATGCAATTTAGAGTTCATATATATGTAGTCTTGTAATCAAATCTGAATGCCTTTTCCACTTGTCTCACAAGTATCCTTACAACCTCTCTTCTTCTGTTTTTCAATAAAAATGACATACCTATATGGTTTTCTCTATGGCACAGTTTACATTTCATCACTAGACTAGCATGGCCTCTTCCCCCTTTCACTGGTGTATTCTCCTGAAAATGGTCAATACAGCACATCTAACCAGTGCAATATTGATATCTTAATTTTTAAATGTATAAAATCTAAAAAAAAAAAATTATATAAAAATAATAAAAAAAAACCTTCAAAAAGAAAAACTCACAGCAAGACTTAGGTACTGGAACTCTGTTGTTTCTTCATTGCAATTGCAACACTTCAACTGAAAGAAAAATTATATATTTTTATTTTCTATTGTTGATCTACTAATGAGATATTACTGGTTAATTTTTAAAAACATGACAGGAATGTGCTAACTTCTATGCTATGGCTTCAACTTTAAAGTAAATATTTTTTTTATAATCTTATTTATATTTGATAACAGTATAAATAAATCTAAAATAGGTTTTGGGTCCTAATGTATTCGCTAAAGTCCAGGACCAAATTTTCTATGGGTCGAAATGTAGAGTTACCTGCGATGTTCCTTAGAACATTCTAGAATAAAACTCCAGAAAAACCTCCTTACCCGTAAATACCACCTAAAGTCTTCTCCTTCCGCTCGAAAATTTGTCAAATTCTCCAAATCAGCTTTTAACTGAAGACCTATTTTCTAAAGAAATAAAGTAAAGCTTGAAATTTCATACGTCACTGTCGATAATGAAAGTAGAAAGAATCATAATTCGCGATTTCATAAAAATGTAATTATTGGATAGAAGTCTTGTTCAAAAATTACAAGTTATTATCAAATAAGACAATTTTGGGTATCAGTAGCTCATTATTTCAAATAACCAAAGATAAATACAACAAAAAAATGTAACACGCACCACCATCCTGTAAAATGAAAGTAAAGCGTTGTTTACTTTAGTCAGCCGTACGTCAACAAATTCGGTTACCATTTGGACGGCATAGCTATTGTCTCAAATAATAAAGAAACTTTTTTAAAAAAAATGCTGGAACGAAGCACATTAGGAAAAAATATGTCTAACAATTTTACAATGTTAATATTTACTTCAGCATACTTTGAAAAAAGTTGTTTTAAATTGATCTTCATCATCTAATTCAGATTTTGGCTTTAATTTGCCTATTGCTAGATTTTAAAAAATTCAGATCTCATTTCTCCAAAATCAACAGCATTAACCTGTCTGACAATGTATACATATTCATATATGCAATTGATCCCCATGTTACACCATGGCCATCGTTTTCAAATATACTGACAACAGGTTTTTTGTTGTTTTTTTTTATCAAAACAGAAAGGTTTCAATGTGGTACCAGTGATGCTTCAATGTCGTTTGTTTTTACTTTCACAATTTAAATAATTCTCTATTACACACATCCAGTCCGTTATCTTCACCTGGTGAGAAAGGATTCCCAGCAAGGTGTGGACATCATTTTCCTTCAATCCAGATCTTCCTCACATCTAATGTACAATGTGTACAATTTATCACCTTTACTCCTTTTATATACCGTGGATAAAGCTCATAGATGTTGTTTTCATATTCGCAGATATGATGTCAAATTGTTTTTTGCATGAATTTGATCATTAAACATTGATGATATTTACAATTAGAAAACTGTGTAGAACATAAATTAGCATAAAGTGAATTTTCCAAAATTGTGGTTAGCTGATTATTCTAATCCAACTCATTTTTAAAACCCTTGCTGAGGGCTGGGGGCTGAAATACAATTCACATATAAAATCATATCCAACCCAGAACATACATGTAGATTCTATAAAATATACGTGAATATGACACAGTGACACTGTGTGTACGTGTTCAATATGTATAAATCCTCACTGAAAATATATTTTCTTAATCCTTTTATACATTAAAAGAAGAGAGCATTTATGATATGTTCTTTATTAATTCTTGATTAGATAATTCAGTTCAACAAAAAATTCTACCATCAAATCTTGATGTACAAAGAATCTAAAATCCAAAACATTTTAACCATTATTCAGTGGTATTACACAAACATGCAACTAATCAACAAGACTTCTTCACAGAATAATAGAAATAGATGTATAAAAGAGAAATTAAAACATTATATCATGCTACTTTTTAAAATGTTCACATGGTTTCAAAAAATTGAACTTAAATATAAATTAATGTATAAAAAATTCCTAAAAATTTGCTTCTTTGATAAAACAACCCATGAGAAAAAAACATGCTTTAAAAATCCTTGTCTTCAATACAAACAAAAATTTGAAACAAACTCATAAATATTTGGCAATGAGATGCAGCGTTACACATGCATTTACAGATCCTATTTACAAGATATACAAGTTAAGATTTGACCATGTTTAATACTTTGGACTGTAGACTTCCCAGTTCTATATTCCTGTCCATCTTGACGTATTTGCCCTTTTTGATCTCCACCACTGTCAGCCATTCTGGTACAAGTTCTATCAGAAGTTTGACATGAGACTCAACATCAGCTGAAATAACACAAAAAGGTTCTTCAATTTCTTAGTTTTTAAAAGATTTACTATTGAAGGCATTTTTTACCAATTCAAATTTCTCCTCTAAACAAATAACTACAATGAAATCCACAACAAATTTTGCATCAGGTCTAAACACCAGACCCTGATGTTCAATGTCACATTGTCCAGTTAATTTGACACTGAATCATGCTCCTGAAATACACAGGGCCAATTGCCCTGTGTGGCCCCAAAATTGTTAGCACAGTTTTTAACAACCTTTTAAAATTTCATATTAACAGCAACTGGATTCAAAAGAGATATTACTAAAATAATTAGCATTTCACAAACAATACCCTCAACCTACCAGCTTGTATAGTTGTCTTGTAGCTGTCGGTTAGTTTCTGTACTATATTTTCCATTGTAAGAGCTGGTTTCTTTTCCGTCACAAAGTGGGCCCTGAGGATTCTCATCATCTCTGGAAGACGATGGATCATCAGTGACCTTTTGTCCTCCACGGGGTCACGCATCATCTCAAGCTCCTGTTTCTTAGCTTCTCGAGCTCGAATCTAAAAAATCAGTAACACAGAGGAATCTCTTTTACTCCAGTGAACTTTTTTTTCAAAACATAATTATATCAAAATTAACTGCAACATGAAACTTCTACTAAGTATATTTAATGATGATGAAACCACGAGCTTGACTTTTATGAAAGATAATTTTTAAAATGTGGCAATATTTATTGGATGTTTTGGTGTGAGGCATTATGATTTTTTTTTTTTTTGTACAGAAAGTACAAGACTTCTTATTAAAATGTATATGTTAGGAATAAAAACTACTTCTTTAAAATTCGTTTTACAGAAACTTGAGTTTTTTAAATTTGTCAGAAGTGACCTATTGTATAGTGCCTGTAACTGTAATATCAATCAGTTAACCACCTTCTCCAACAGGGACTGAGGAACTCCCTGCAGCTGAGGTAAATTCTTAGCTGCTGATGGCTCTGGTGAGTTTTTGGACTCCTTTTTCACGTTTTCCATGGCTACTGAATTAAGGGCCTTCTTTACCTATTAGGAAAATGACAGTAAATACATGTATTACAATAACAGTAACATTAAAACATGATTGTGACGTTAACCTTTTGTTTGTGTTGTCCATTCTATAGCTTAGTGTTGAGCTAAATCCCCTAACAATCTATTCAGTCACCTGTAAGTGTCCATTCTTTTTGGAAAACTGTCCATTCTTTTTAAGAATGCAGGGATTTATAGGCTATTTTACTACCGGTGCCTGTCCCCTCTTGAAAAAGGTGCAAAAATTCCCCTTTTTCAGATAGAAAATTCTCCATTAAACGGAGAATATTTAAAACATCGTTCTGAAATTTTCCGTTTTTGTCCGATTGAAGTTTTACAGCTAATTTACCATCCTAGTCATTCAAACGCTTTTAAAAGAAAGAATATATTATTCAAGCTTTTATTTGATATTGATGGTAAACATGTGCCAAGTCCATGATGTCGAAAGATAGGCGTGCGATTGTAGAGTTAAAAAGAAAAGTGTAGATGAGTAAGATGGAGCTTATATCACTATGAATCGGAAAATGGAGTAACAACAAAAACAATGTTAGTAGTGAAACATGAAAAACAGAATTGATTTGTGATAGATATTAGAGAAAAAATTAAATAAAGTCCTGACCTGGTTAAATTTTTTGTGTGTGTGTTATTTAGTATTTTTCCTAAAAATAATTTTTGTGGTCTTTGTAAAGGTCTACAAATGAAGAACTTCTAAGAATGCAGGATTTTGCTCCATTTAAAAAATTTCAAACTAATATCCAGTTAACATGCTCTCTTTCATTACATATAAAATGTAAAACAAAATAGCTAGATAAATCCCTGGAATGGACAGTTTTTTCAATAAGAATGGATAGTTAAAAACAAACAGAATGGACAGTTAAAACAAACAGAATGGAGAGTAACAGGTAAACCTTGGTATGTGCAAAAGAGGGAAACAAAAACAAATTAATACATTAAATAGGATTTAATGTACGTGTGAATAACAAAAAACTTGGAGATACAAGTTATTCCAGAACACAGTGTCTGCATCGGATTTGGTTGATTTTTCACATTTAAGTCCATGAGTAATGCACTTTTTTTCAATTCTCAAAACTTGAATTTAAATGACACAATTTCACATTTGATTAAGATTTTGGAAGCATCATTCCCTCGAGAAGAACCCATTTTAAGCTTGAAGTTGGCTTATATTAAATCCATCACCTAGAAAACAGTTTGCACCATGAAAACTACACTGCTGCAGTGAATATTTCGGTAGCAAATAATTTAAATTGAAACATTTCCAGATTTGAGTTGATTTGCTTTTTCAAGTCGAAGTTTGGCCCATGGCTATATCCAACACTGGGAACACAATTTGCATTTCACCATTACACTGCTGCATTATATATCCTCATAAACTGAATTCGAATTTTTAAAAAAACACGTTTTTGGTTTGAATTCGAAATTTTCTTTTACGCTTACTATTCTCTGTTTCCAGGTCAAAGTATCACTGGTTATATAGCATCTTTTGGTTTGAAATTAATATTTTAATTCTGTCATATATTCTCTCCATTAGAGGGAAACATGTTTGCCTTTACAGCGCAAAATATAAACTGATTTTAAGGAATTGCATTCTTATATAAAAACTAGCATCCCCGGAAATCCACCTGTAACTGTCCATTCTTTAGACAAAGATATTTTGTTATTTGCAACTGTAAACACAATGGCTATTCAACAAATTTCTGTGCTCCCATAGTTTACCTTTAACTGTCCATTCTGTAAACAATGAATTTACAGTGTGTGTGCCACCTGTTTGCACATTTTTTTTTGTTAAATTTTCAGAACAAGGAGAATCATGTTTTAAATAGGAGAAAGGACTCAAACTGTCCATTCTGAGAGAGAAAGCTGTTGGTATCAGATGGACTAACAATAATATCAACTGTTCTACAGTGTTCCACATACCTTTTTCTGGTTGGTAATTGAGTACTTTTTTAAATATAATTTTAGTATCTTTCATTCTATCACAAATAAGCACTTCTAATGAAGTAAAAGAAATTTCAAACTAATATCCAGTGAACATGCACTTTCATTGAAAAATGTACATACAGAGCATACGGATGTTAACAGAGGCTCTTAATTGTAAAAGTGGGCATTCTAAGGAGTTATCTTATTTAAGAAAGCTTTCTGTAATTCATCTACAGGACAATTGCTTACATTTTAACAAAAAATTTTAAACAGTGGTAAGGTCGTTGTATATCAATTTTAGTATATATATTTAATTCTCTTAGAGAAAATATCAGTATGTATTGGACTAATTATCAGTGTACCCTGTATTACAGAGAAACTTGTCTTATCCAAATATTGTATAATTTAAAATCAAGCCTAATACAGTGTAAACTTTACACCCTTTTCATTGAATTCAGTTGTTTCAAATGTTGCTTGATCAGGAATTTATTTTTAAATCTGGCCAATTTCTTTCTAACTAGTGATGTCCTGATAAGACAAGTTTAACTTTTATTTGACATACCCTGTCTGGGAGCCTGGCTTTGTTATCCTCTAGGACGTCTAGAGCTGACTGGTACTTCTTCACATACGGAGCTTCTGGCAGGCTGTCAACAGGAATATCTGGCACCTCATCCAGGGAAAACTTTGGATGCCACCTTGTAATTTTGTCTTCAGGGACAGAAAGGGGTCGAGATAGAGAGGACAGAAATTTCTGCAAAAAAGAAGGGAATATCTTTTGAATCTTTAGAAACATCCATATCTATATTTTCTGTATTCTGATGTGTTTTGATGAAAAACAGATGCAATTATTGTAACTTGTTTATTTGATTATTACTATGCAATTATGATATCTTATTAAGTACTTCTGATTTGAAGACATATTTCTGTCTAGGTATCCCAATTTACAAATTGATACCATTCATGGTAAGTATAAGAGAGCTTTTTCCAGTGGAAACACTCCCTTTTTTAATGTTTTTGTAGCATTTTATTAACTCTAAGTATCAACAAGTGCTAAATTGTGGTAGGCTGAAATAACCCCAAAGTGTACCAATAATTTTTTTTTTACTTACTGCATATTTAACAGCACATAAATAAATACCCACATCTACACTCAAAGATTTCAGCAAATTTCTTGGAATGCACTCACTGCAAGTTTCATAGCAGCCTTTTTGTGCTTTACAAGTTTACCCTAAGTACAAGTTTACCCTATGTATAGCTTTACCTTATGGTGTTTCATGACAATTGAGATTAACTTGTTGTGGAATGTGGTTTTCCTCTGAAGAATGTCTTTAGCAGCAAAACAGGGTCTACCTGACTTTGTTGTTAACTTATTCTCGGACTCTGTAAAGAAGATAACCAGTTTATAATTGTCTTAATTTGAACATTATACATATGTGCAGGTTTGCATCTCCATTCGGTGTTCTTCTGTGTAGATAAAAATGGCTACTCTTTCAGGCTGGTATTTTGTCTGTTGCAGGTATAGCTGTTCGACATAAATTGTTGCCATGAGCTACATACTCTTATTAGTTTTCCAAACTGACTCACAATTGAGTTATTTAGAAATTGAAAAAGTATTGTACCATCATTGAAGTTTGGTTCTACAGTCAGCTGATAGTCATGTGACTTTCCTCCAAAGGCAGGAAGTCCTTTCTCCTGTCTGAAGGTGTAGGCCTCAGGATATACAGTCTTTATCTGACCAACATTCTTCTGCTCAAAGTTCCTGTTAAACAACATACAAACAATCAATAAACTTACATCAAAATGCGTCAAGAATTTGTATAGGTACTAAATACATAAATTGTTATCATAAAAACTTGCATTAATAGAGACTATTAATATGAATAGATTAATTTACTAAGTATTTCAAATCAATTATTGCTAAGTCCCTTTGTCTTTGGCATACCTTTTGGTCATCTCCTGAACGGCTGTCTTGAGTTTGGAGAAGGTGCAGATTTCTGAGCGATTATGTAACATGCTGACCACTGTGTCCATGCTGCGGAACATGTCCTCCAGTAACTTGTACTTGTAGGGGAGGGACAGTGAGGGAGGGGCGGGGGTGGCCAGATGGTGGAACCTCTCATAGGCTGGGGCCTTCTGGTCACTGAAACAGCAGTTTATATCATCAATGGTCAATTGTAAGCATTCAGAGAAATCGTACATTATTACTGACAACTGAGTAGTTAAACAATCAAACTTACTATTATTGTCCACAATTCAACCACTAAACTTTAAGACAAAGATCTTTTACTCTCATCCATATTCATAACAAACATTAAGGCTAAACTGATTAATTTTACTTCCATTGACGTACCTTGCCGGTTCCAACTCCTCCTTTGCTTCCACCTTCACTTCTATTGCCTCAAATTTACTGAGTTCTGGGGCCTTTGCTTTGGTGACTACAGGTAATGCTTTAGGTTTTGTTTTTGACTCCTTTATCTTTTTCATTTCCTTTTTAGCCTCATTTAACTGTAATAGCTGAGCTTTCAATTCCTCTAATTTACCACATTTTTTCAGCTTTTCTGTCACCTCAGATTTGGATACCTATAAATAAAATCACAAGTATAGTTCACTTAAAAAAAAGTCTAGAGTAATGCACCTTCATATTGTGCAGTGCTTCTATGTTTCATTTTGTTTTTAACAAATCAAATATCATCCCAACCCTCCTAGCTGTGGGTCATGATTTGAAGAAAATTTAAATGAATGAAGTTTCACTAAATTCCAATATTTCTGGTTAAGTGGTCCTTGAGAAGATTTTAATCTTTTAACTTTAGCTAATAAGACTGATTTCCTCACCTTCTCCATTGCTGTGCCTTCTTTATTGAGCTCCTTCAGTTTCTCCATGGCTGCCTGGACCTTGTTGGATGTGGGGACCTTCGGACCTTTCTCCATCTGCTGTCTCACAACTTCAGGGGTGTCGGGGAGGGGGGAAATGGCCAGGGGTGGCAGGTCCAGGACTTCACGATATTTCTGTTTTTCTGAGTGCACTTCTGGTTCTCGCAACTTAAAGGAAAGATTAAAAAAGACTTTAATAAAAAGTAATATATATATATATATTTAGCAAGCAAAATTTGTAGAATAAAGTGACACTCACACTGCTAGCTCTAACAAAGCCTGTCTGAAGAGAAAATTCTATCAGTGCACATTAATCTAGAGTACACCAAAAATTAAATTCACCTTGAATTAACCAATTGTTTAATGGTTAATCATAGCAAAGAGAGATTAGTAGATTGTATGCATTTGTTAACAATTTCCACTTTAAAGACTTGATAATTGTGGAAATTGCATGTAAAATACAATGTCATTTGATGCCACAGATAAGATCTTCAAAATGTCTCATGCATTTGAAGAGGTGGATCTAAGTTAATTTTTTTTCTTTTCATGTCAAATTATATAAATAATTTCATAATTTTTTTTCATTTGTGCACTCACAAGTTCAAATGGTGTGTCTAATGAATTTTTTTCCCCCAGCAGTGTTTTCCCTAAGAACTGGCAACCGGCCAAATTGACCGCTTCAATTGACAAAAATGCCGCTTTGAAATAACAATTAGTTGTAAGGTCCACAGAGATTTTGTTCATAAACCTCATACCGTAGACTTTTACAACTGATTCTAACCCTTTACTTTGAAATAAAAGGAAAACACTGCCCCAGTATTTTAAATCTTAACAATATAGACCTTTTGAAGTTTTTCTTTAAACCTAATACTTTTGACATGGAATCCAAATGATCTAATTAAGAAACAGTAATTTGTAAATAAAAAGAAATCGTGGATTGATAAAACATAACATGTTCCATCCCTTTTCCAATATCTATACTGATTAATTGAATCTCAGTCATGCCTCATTGTGTATACAATCACCCAGACACAAAGCCATAAAAGGTGTCCCATGGTGCAAAGATTGCCTGGAGTGGACACATGTATTTCTTTATGACAACTTCAGACAAGATTCCTATCAACTTATCAACAGCCCAGTTAAATACAATCAAAGAATTCATTCAGGATATTACTTATTTATCACACCATTATTTAAAATATGTAGTCACTGAAATATTTCTAAGATGATTTTGTCTCATATTAATTAATCAATCTTGTCACTCCTTTAAATTTTACAAGAAAACTGTATTGAAACCTGTCCTAAAAATGCAAATTAAATCCAGTTTATTCTTCACATTAAACAGGTCCAGTACAATCACTAGATATAGCTACTTAGGTAGAATTACCTACGTAGCTTTATTTACCTACCTCAGGTAGCTTTATTTAGCTATTTCAAGGTACGTTTTCAGAAGTTTTCTTTTTATTAAAAAGAGACAAATAGTCGCAATTAAATGACTATTGATATTTATACTAGGGAGGCTTAAAAAAGCAATCCAAAGCAGAGATAGTTTATACATTGCTGCGTTTGGACAATTTAGAGCAAAACATGTAATTCCAAGGCATGACTGAGTATGATTACTTCACATTGTGCTGAATAATTTCCGACCTATTATCGTTTTAACCAGAACTGGACTTCTTTGTCATTTCATCCAAGGGGTAACCGTTCTAACTGTCATACGTAGCCCCAAAACTTTCAGAACTTTGATTCCAATTGCGCAGAAAAAGACATTTTTCCAAGAGGGATTTTTTCATGAGTTGTTTTCAGATGAGTTCAAAGTTGAAAATGATCACTGCATCAAAATGATATTTTCTGCACACACTGAGAAAAATGCTTTTAAATAGAAATAAACCAATTTGGTAGCTAAATAAAGCTACCTCAGGTAGATAAATAAAGCTATGTAGGTAAATCAAGCTACGTAGCTAAATGTAGTGATTGTACCAGACCTGTTAACCTCTGCAATAGACATATCAAATAACTGCTACGATCGATGAAATAAACCTTAAGATTTGCCAAAACAACTGTTTTTTTCCCCATTTTACCTCATTTTCAGAGTTTTCGCTTTCACTAGATGCAATGACATCGCTACGTAACTGCAGCTTCTTTCTGGACCTTGGTGCCTTGACTGTCTCCTCCTTTTCTTCTTTAAGGGGCGTCTTCAGGTCCTGTTTTACCTTGCTTTGTCGGGTACGCTTTCTCGAGGCCTGGGTCTTTCCCTTTGTTTCGCCCTCATTGTTCTGTTTAGATTTCTTTGATGGCGTCAGTGGACCGTCATGTTCGTCCCAGGCAGATGTTATTTCTTCACTAGCCGAACTTGAAGCTGGAGACGGCGATCTCGATCTTAACGCATCAGTTATTGATTGCTGTCCCTTGATTTGCTTAATTTTCCTGGTTCTCTGCTTTACACCTTTTGTTGTTGTTGATTTTGCGCTTGCATCGGGCAGAGAAAGTGTAAACAAAACATTTTCTGGTTCGGCAGATACAGGTGTAGAAATTCCTTTACCTCTGGTGGACGATCGCGTTGATCTTGTGCTCTTTGGTTCACTCTGAATAGTTTCTGAAACCTCTGCATTAATTTGCAACTTTCTACGCTTAGATGGCTGTGCATCTCCATTTCTTTTCTTGGTTGCATAAAACTCTGTTACTCGTGCTTGCGCCATTGTTGTTGTCAATTTTCCCGCTTACCGCGGAAGTCACGTGATCAAAATATAACGGCGCGTCGATTTACCCAAATGGACCCAAATGGACCCAAATGGAACCCAAATGGACCCAAATGGAAACAAATGGACCCAAATGGAAACACAAATGGACCCAAATGGAAATCAAATGGACCCAAATGGAAATCAAATGGAATATAAAACATGTATTATCGTATTTTATTACTTATTTAAAATGATAAAAATAAAAGAACTTACAGGTACAAATGGAGTTTTAAATTAAATCATATTTTCTTACATTGTATTTTGAGACATGAAATTGAATTAATTTTTATGTTATTCTATATATCGGCAAAATTGTTGAGGGTGAGGGAAGTGGGGATGGGAGGGGCATCCCCCCCTCCCTCCTACTCCGTTTGTAAGGCCATGAAAACTGTATACTTCAATTTTGTATTCAAATATATGCAAAAGATATTAAAATAGAAAAAAATATCGTATTTTTAAAAATATGATTAAAGAAAAAAATAACTTAAAACATTTTCTTTTTGTTAAGTTCATTATTTTTCACTATTTTGAATAAGTAATAACTTGAAAATACGATAATATTATATGAGTTGCGTCAAGCGAAAAGGGACCTTCGTGACAAAATTTTCGAAAATCGTTTTTTCACCGATTCTGACAGAGCTAGTTTTTCTGAATATTTTGATACCAAATTTTTTATTGTATACCTTCTAAATTTTAACTAAAACTCAAAATGAAAGCAGTGCAATTTTAAAAAGATAACGCTATAAAACGTTGAATAACGTCACATAACGTTATTGATATTTGGAACGCTTTTGTTACTAAATAACCCTTTTTTATTAGTTGGAA